CCCAGGAGTTGGAGGTTGTTGTGAGCTGTAATGCCACGGCACTCTACCCAGGGGGACAGCTTGAGGCTCTGTCTCCAAAAAAAAGAAAGAAAGAAAACATTGAAGCCAGTGATTTTAGAATGAGGCCTTGCCAAGGTTCTCTGCAGAATTTCTAGGTAGAATAATGGGTCACTGTAGGATAGAGTATAGGGGTTTTTTTCTTTTTCTTTTCTTTTTTTTTTTTTTGAGGCAACATCTCAGTTTGTCACCCTTGGTAGAGGGCTGTGGCCTTACAGCTCACAGCAACCTCAAACTCTTTTTTTTTGAGATAGTTTCACTTTGTCACCCTCAGTAGAATGCTGTGGTGTCATAGCTCACAGCAACCTCAAACTCTTGAGCTCAAGTGATTCTCTTGCCTCCTCTCAAGTAGCTGGGACTACAGGCACCCACCACAATGCCCGGCTATTTTTTGGTTATAGTTGTCACTGTTCTTTGGCAAGCTCAGGCTAAATTCGAACCTGCCAGCTCTGATATATGTGGCTGGCACCCTAGCCACTGAGCTATAGGTGCCCAGCCAACTTCAAACTCTTGGGCTCAAGCAATTCTCTTGCTTCAGCCTCCCAAATAGCTGGGACTATAGGTGCCCACCACAATGCCCGGCTAATTTTTGGTTATAATTATCATTGTTGTTTCAGGCCCAGGCTGGATTCGAACTCACCATTTCTGGTATATATGGCTGGCACCTTAGCCGCTTGAGCTACAGGCACCACCCCTTCTTTTATTCTTTCTCAACCAAGTGAAAAGTCTTTAGCTTTCTATTCAATTAAGTGATGGCCAACATCACTCCAACTCTTGATCTTCTTCCCGGCTAGAATGAGGGACCAGCAAGTGACACAAGAATTCTAAAGCCTAGTTTCAAAGAGTACCTACCAGTGATCTGGTTCGCTTTCTTGCAGTTCTAGTAAAGATTAATGGTAAATTGGAAACATATTAGAGTATCCATAATCTTCAAATCCACAGTAACACAGGCAAGCCTGCATTTGAGATTTCTGACACTTTATTTTTATAATTATTGAGAATGTCATTACTAGTGTCTTCGGGTTTTGCATCTGTAGAACAAGCAGCAGCATCTTTTCCCCTGAGTAGTATATTTTCATTCCCAGGACAGAAAGTATACATTGCCATGTACGTCTCCAACTGCCAGCTGCAGGGCAGAGTTAGGACCCTGCCAAGGTTCCAGGCAGCTCACTGCCCCTTCACATCGGAACAGACCCAGCTGCAAGGAAAGTAAAATGGGGGAGGTGAGGGTCACAAGCCTTGAGCATCCTTAATAACTTATAATGTATTTTTCTCTCACATTAATGCCTTTTATTTAAAAACAAGTAAGTCACACATTATGGCATGAGGGAATGAAGAAAATAGAATTTTGATCTTTTGCCCTCTCTTAGTCTAAATTTGCTCATGACATCCTAACATTCCTATATCCCTCTTGTGCATACACACAAACACTTACCAGCTGCATACTGGATCTGTCCCACAGTTTAACATCTCTGTCCTTTGAAGCTGTCACCAGTAACTCAGGCAGCACATGGAGGGCTGTGACAGAGCCCGAGTGAATCTTGAAGAGAAAGAGAACAGTATGGTGAGTGCTCAAAGGACCCTCCTCAATTAAGAAAGGATCAGAGTCCACTGTGTCAGATCTAGAGACTCTTTCCTTATATTAGTGACCCTCCCTCAACTCACCTTTCTACGCTGCTGCGTCTTTAGATCAGGGGTTGTTGGCAAGCTATGCGTGCTGGTATCTTCTTCCAAGCATTCTGATGAGTGTGACTCTGAAGACTGGGTTTCAGGAATTTTTACTTCCTTCTGCCAGATGTTACCTGGAATCCATTCTCCCTCCGGGCTGCATTTGGCCAGTTTCCAAAGCATTCCATCAGAGCTGGCACACAGAAATGAGGACTCTGCCATTATGAGGATAGAATTAAAGTCAAGTCTCAGGCCTTACAGGATCTACCACCCTTGCCTAGGTTATTTGCAGGCTTCTCGGATCTTC